CTGAAAATATCCCACCCTCACTGCACCCCCACCCTCACTGCACCCCTACCATCACTGCACCCCCGCCCTCACTGCACCCCTACCATCACTACACCCCCACCCTCACTACAGGCTCACCCTCACTGTACCCTACCCTCACTGTACCCCACTCTCTCTGTGCCCCACCCTCACTGTGTCTCACTCTCACTGTATCTCACCGTCACTGTGCCTCACCCTCATTGTACCTCACCCTCACAGTACCTCACCCTCACTGCAGCCCCACCCTCACTGTACCCGGACCTCAGTCTTCTTCACACATACTACAGCCCCACCCTCACTACAGCCCCACCCGCATTGTACCCCACCCTCACTACAGCCCCACCCTCACTGTATGCCACCCTCACTGTACCCCACTCTCACTGTACCCCACCCTCACTACAGCCCCACCCTCACTATACCCCACCTGCATTGTACCCCACCCTCACTACAGCCCCACCCTCACTGTACGACACCCTCACTGTACCCCACCCTCACTCTCCCCCACCCTCACTGTACCCCACCCTCACTGCACCCCACCCTCACTGTAACCCACCCTCACTACAGCCCCACCCTTACTGTACCTCACCCCCTCACTGTACCCCACCCTCACTGCACCCCACCCTTACTGTAACCCACCTTCACTACAGCCCCACCCTTACTGTACCTCACCCCCTCACTGTACCCCACCCTCACTGCACCCCACCCTCACTGCACCCCACCCTCACTGTAACCCACCCTCACTGCACCCCACCCTCACAATACCCCACCCTCACTGTACCCCACCCTCACTGTACCTCACACACTCCAGCCCCACCCTCACTGTGCCCCACCTTCACTGTACCCCGCCCTCACTACAGCCCCACCCTCACTGTATCCCAACCTCACTACAGCCCCACCGTCACTGTACCTCACCCTCACTGCAGCCCCACCCTCACTGTACACGGACCTCACTCTTCCTCATACACACTACACCCCCACCCTCACTACAGCCCCACCCTCACTATACCCCACCCTCACTACAGCCCCACCCTCACTGCACC